CGATGTCTTTTCGTCATCGCCTACTCAGATTTCAACCCATATGCGATCAATAATGAGTTTTTTTTACCAGTTAAGGTATTAAAGTACTTGCCGGAGACCTGAATGCACAGGTCAAGCGTCTAAACATACGGGAGGATCGTTTGGGTAGCCAATGTAGACTTGCTGGTCTCAGGTCAGATAACGGTGACCTTCTACTGCTACTTTGCTCAGACTACAACCGGTTTCTGTCTAGCGCCAACTATTGGCACAGTCATCCTCGATGTGTTAGCTGGAGTCTACCATCTGTATCTCGAAATTGGACTCAAACTGAGCATATAGCAATCATTTACTGCTGAAATGGTTGTGTACAAGACTGCCGCTCCTTTTGGATCACTTATCTCGACTCTGATCATACCCTTGTTTGTGTTTATTTTATCTCTTACGTCTCAATGCCCAGCAAGTTCATCACCCTGAACGGATCGATGTAAACAAATTGGTTGCACCTACTGTTGTAACTAAATATCCATCGGAGCTAGGTTTGAGGCTAGCTATCAATCCACTGAAAAGTATAGATGAGCATTGGTTGCATTTCATCACACCATGAAAATGGCGAGTAAAGTCGCTTGAGATTTTGCAAAACATCCCACTAATAAGCATCGGGTTTCTATAAACAATTACATCTCATTGAAGCCCGTCGATCTACTTTGGGTGATAACGAGTTTGACCAAAATATTGGCTTCAGTCATATTTATTAGATTGTTCAAAACCCGAAAAAGATCAACTCTCTAGAAGCAGGCTGGTTTTTGTTCTAATCGAAGATGTATCGATCATATCTTCACTCTCCTCCAAATGTTAAAACACCGTCATACTTATCACATGTCAACAACAGTAGTGTATCTTGACATTGAGGCCGTCTTCGATTCGTAGGACAGGACTGTTCTCTGAGATTGTCTATTGAAGAAGGGTGTGTCTGATGAGTTTATTAACATCCTAAAAGCCCTATATACAAACACCTCAAGCAGAGTGAGGGCATACAACCACCTCTCTCCATTGTTTCATTCAAGCAGTGGGGTCAAAAAGGGTTGCCAAATCTCACCATTTTTCTTCAACTTTGCTATCGATGATGTCCTGGAAACAGCTCTGATGGATGTAGGGAATGATAGTATGAATCTGTTGCCTGGAGAGAAACTTCTCGACCTTGAGTATGCGGATGATTATTGTCTTACTGTGCAATGATACTCAAGGTATGAAATCCTCACTTAATCAGTGTCCGCAGGTACGGTATGTGCTTTGCACCTCCTAAGTGCAAAGTACTTTTACGATCCTGGCAGGACCCTGAAACTACACTCACTTTGGGTAATTAGTAGATAAAAGTAATCGAAAAATTCGTGTGTCTGGGTAGCTGAGTAAGTGCTAGTGGTGGTGTGAGTGATAGTGAAAGTCAGAGCGTCCTATGCCAATGTGAGCCATCTTTGGCACCTTTGTGATGTTAGTCTGGCTGTCAAAGGTCGGTTATACAACGCGTCGGGGAGAGCAGTTTTGCTCTATGTTTGTGAAACCTGACCCCTCTAAGTTGAGGATGTTAAACGACTCTGTGTTTGGTCATCGTTGTCCATCATGATTGCTGACATCTAGTGGGATCAACATGTTAATAATAAAGAAATTCGGCATCGTGTGTTCGGGTACAGCGACTATAATCCAATTGGTGTCACCATCTTAAAACATCGACTTCGGTGGCTAGGGCATGTCCTACGAGTGTCGTCCCAGCGAATTCCATGTTATGCATTATTTGCCGATCCTGGGACCGGTTGGAAAAAGAGGAGAAATGTTCAGTGTTATGGAATGGTATCACGGTGTGAAAAAAGCTGTACAGGACTACTGACTTCTATTGGTCTCTCACGGCTCCTCTGTTGGAGTCCTAGAGATGGTGAAACACAGTGGCTTGATACGTTATCAGACGTGGCTCAGAATAGAAACCAGAGGCGATTCTGCCGTAACTTTCTTTTACTTTCTTCGTAAAAGTGAGAGTAACTTCTTCAAGTGAAAGAATTCTGTAACTAAACTGCTTATCTCATTATTATTATTATTTTTATTCTCACTCATGCTAATATCTGTTCATTGTTGCTCTTCTTTTTATTATACTCACCCTCCATTTTCTATCTCTTCACGCATTCATTGTCATTGTGGGGCGCATATGTATATGGTAACCCTTTGTACTAATGTTGGTATGTTCAAATAAATAAATAGTTCGAATTAAATCAATAACAACTTTAGACAAACCGGATAAAAATTCCTACTCCTGTAGTTATAAATTGCTTATAAGGTTATAAGTTTATTTAATAAGTTCACTTACATTTCTGGAAGACAAATAATGGGAAACATATTTATTTCATCACTTAATAAAACCTTGCTTGAGTACTTTCATCCAGACTACAAAATAATCCATTTAACAAACATTAACACAAAAAATTAATTCAAGGAATAAACTTGACCAATTATTTGATACACACACACACGCTAGCACATAATTTAATCTAATTAATGTACTGTTATGTAACTGAAATCAAAAAGAATTTTAATTATTTGATCTAATTTAATTTCCTGGTACTATTCCAATTTGTATTAACTTCATAAAGCTAAGTTGTTATTTTGGCACTTATTAAGAATTATTATTATATTATTACCTCCGAATGGTGTTGAAAAGAATTTTCTGTAATCATTATGCTTTATCGGCAGTTTTTAGTAGACAATACCTTCAGTTTTTTTTCTACTATTAACACTAATAAGTTTAATTTTTATGGGTCGGAGAAAAATTCTACTACTGCTACTACTACTACTAATAATAATAATAATAATGATAATAATTATAATTATTATTTATAGACATGCCCCAAGCAGGACAATCATTAATTGAAATTTTGACTTTTACCCGTTAAATGTCATGTGATTTATTCCCCAATCAGAATATGACTCGTAAAATCTTAACATTGTGGCACAACAGTGACATATTGACCGGTCTGAACAAAATAGAATCCTTATTGATCCTTTTCCTTACTAGCTCTATCCGTTGAATCCAGAACGTCAATAATAACAGCTTCCACTGTATGAATCATATATTTCAGACATATTTAGTTTATATACAAGCCAAACAGACAATAAAATAAAAAGTAACAATTGTAAAAGATCAAGCCAATCAGTGGCTGTGATTGTGAGATACTGTAATTTATGAACTGAGTATAACTTAAGAATGCCAAGTCGTATAATAATAATAATAATATATTCTGAAAATAATATTTATTATTATAGTCTGTAGGTCAAAATAAAGCTTATAATATGAGGAATATGAATATGTATAATCTAGTTACTCAATAGTTATATAATAAGTATATATTTGTAATATTAGTCCATTAATAGCTCTCAGAGGTAACCCTTAGTTTAATCTTCGCTAGGATATAACAGAAATGTTTATTTAGTAAAATTATTGCGTGCTGGAATGTAACTGAACCACAGTGATCATGACTATGTAGTTATGACAATTATTAAAAATTGTCATAACCTATTGATGTCCATTTTTTGAAGACTGGCATGTTCAACCATACTGTTAATTAGATATTCTGCCGGAAAAAAATCTCAATAAATGTTGTTACCAGGTGGTATAATTAGAATGGTTCTCAATAATACGTGATAAATATTTATTACTTACTACTATACCCCACCAGCATAGAAGGATACCATTTTTAGTCCTAGTATCAATCAATCAATTTTGAGTTAATAATATATGTAAAATGTTGGAAGATGAAGAGATCTGTAGCTTTGTTTTGATCAAAATTATGTAGATGGAGAATATTAGTGTTGAAATCCATGCTGATGATAGCGTATTGTCATAATTTACGTACTAGAGTACTAGATCCATTAGTCAACATATCCGAATTCTTTAGTATTATAACAGAACATAGCAAAGCTAGAACCTATAAAAATCAACAAATATTTGTATACGACTTAAATTACACATAAATGACTTAGTATATAATCGTTGTCAATGCTTAACAACAACAACTAAAACAATACTGGAAATCTATTTCACTTAGTTTAGAAAATCTCAACAATTCACACTCATAACCTAGCTAGGAATCAGACTCAAGACTTTAATATTTCATGGATCGCTAGTTTTGGTTAAGATGTGTTACATGTTTACTGTTGAAGAGTCTTTTCTGATAAATCTTATTGATTAAACGCTATATTTGGATCCTAAGCTAGTCTTGTACCCCCAAGCTAGAACTACACGGTGACTCGAACACGAGAGAAAAGGCACAAAATTTGCGGGAAGCACTTTACTCCAAAGGTTCATTTATGTACGGAAAATATAGGGTTTTTATAATATTTTAGAAGTCTTTGGGTTTTCATGAAAATTCTAGAATACTACTCAACATAGTAGCAGTGTAATAATCAATCAAAGCCTCTACATGTGACTTTTCATTTCCGCGATGTTTCTAGCAAAACTTCTAATCAAACGCTGATTTGATAAAATGCTCCTTAATGTTTCCTGAGATTGTCGTATCTATTGCGAGAAATTTGCAGGATCATCCCAACATTTTCAAACAGAACATGTCTTTAGTGTCCCTCATTTTTAATTATCATTCAACTGCATTCAGTCTGACAAAAGCTATCTCCGAAATGAACTAATCTAAATGCCTGTGTAAACAAAAATTTACAAAATCATAAGGTTAAATTACTGCAATCAACAAATATAGCTAATTTACAGAGTTATACAATTAATTTTTTTCAAACATCTATGGATAATTTATTATACTTTTAGGAAACAGTAATTTTTTTTATCTCACTAACACTAAAATCGATTAATGCCTTGGTTACTAATCATATTAATTATGGGGAGCTTTGTACAAATTTTTTGTGTTGTTTAATTTATGATAAAGTTAGCTTTACATAAATTAATCTCTACATTTCCCTATTCATAATCCTCTAATCATTACTTACTTTTTATTGTTTTCAATTTCATTCAGGTCAAGAATCATATGCCGGTATAACAGAAACAGCTTATCGTACTTGTGATGGTTTCATTATTGTATTTTCAATAACTGACACAGCTTCATTTTACGCTGTTAATGATTTTATGTAAGTGTTTCTAATGTCAATGTACAAGTTATTATTTGAAATTTAATTAATATCTCGTTTTACATTTATAATACATCTTGTAGAAAAATAATTATACACTGACTTCTTAACTATTTCCTTAACCTGGAAAGGTTAGTATATAGAAGATGAGGGTATTTTTATGAGACTGTATGTAACTCTTGGATTCTAGAGGCTTCTTGAAGTCATGGGAAAAGTTGTTGGTTGTTCAGTTAATATGAGGAAGTCATACCCAGTTATTTTGTATGTTTTTTTTGAAGCTATAAAAGAGCTCCAACTAGTCACAGTAGTTTTCTTTTAGCATTTTTATGAAGAACAATAGGGGCCTTTCGAAACAATACACCTTTAGTTTATAAAAGCTTAATGTTGGTTGTAATAAACTAATGGAAATAAAATGAAAATTTTTTATTATTCTCTGTTTATAGTTTTGATATTTTCGTTGATTTAATCTTCTTTTCCTCTGATTATTTTGTTTAAAAATATAGCAACTGTAATCATTGTACATTTGTGCTGAGTTTTACACAGCTTCATCAGTCTGTCCTGGAATCATATGTATTTCGTAATCTTTTGTTTATTTCATGTAACTGGTCCTTTAGACAGCCCCGATTAGGAGAATGGTAATGTATCATATGAGGGAAGTTCAGTCAGTCAGTCACAGCGTAGAACTTCGTACGTACGTACATCAGTTCAAGTTGCCATACCACATTAGAACAGAGATGCAGTTGTCGATTCAAATCCCATAGTGGTAGAAGTAGTAAGAGTATAAGCATTATGTGAAAGATTATGGTTTGAAGATGTTATTGAAAGAGTATAATACAGTGAAATAAATTTGAAAAGAGGAAAAGGATAATGACGTGGAGAATTTAGAAGATTATAATTTGGGAGATCACAAAGAGTGGATACACCTTCGCCATTGCAAACGATTTTGAGCCATGTCATTCAAGGTCTCTAACCATCGGTTGTTATCAACTCGCAGATCCCAACCAGGTAGTCTACCTACCAACATGGCTCAGTCCAATTGTCAGGGACTTCATGGATTTGTGCCACGTTTTGGTCTGGCCGCCCCTAGCTTTCTTCCAACCTACTCCTACACCAAGGAACATTGCACGTAGGGGGCAGTCGGTGGTTGGGCATACGTAACACGTGTTCCAGCCATCTCAACTGATGAAGTTTCACCACTTCATCAATCGATTTGCCATGCTTACCTAGTACCCGTTTCCTAACAACTGCATTACTTACCCGGTGGTTGCAGGATATACGAGTGATGCTCCGAAGACATCTATGATCGAATACTAGTAGCCTACGAATGTCCTCTACTCTTATCGGCCATGTTTCACTGTCATAAAGTAGAACGGAACAAACTGCTGCACAGTAAACCCGTCCTTTTGTTGCTAGACGGACATCTCGCCTACGCCATAAATGACGCAAGTTGGCGAAAGCTAGACGAGCCTTCTGTATCCGTGTTGAGATTTCGTCACACACCAGACCACAAGGACTGATGAGACTCCCAAGATAAGTGAAGCGGTCGACACGCTCAACTACTTCACTCCCTATCATTAGTTCAGGTGTCGATACAACCCGATCCTTAAGTAACATTTTGCACTTCGAGGGAGAGAATCGCATTCCGAACATGACTGCATAGTTGCATATGGTGGTCAGAAGACTGCATTTTGTCAGCGTCTTCACCAAATAAAACTATGTCGTCGGCGTATTCTAAATCAACAAGTGAGCCTCATGGTAAAAGTTCAACTCCGGGAGATTTAGTTGTTGAAAGTGTTATCTCTAAAAATATGTCAACAACAAAGTTTGGCTGAAGGCCAGTTGAACTGGTCCCTAAAGTGTTCTGCCCATCGATCTAATCTCCTGGATTGAGAATGAATGATATGCCCATCTTTATCTGAGATATTTTCACTGATACTTGGATTCCTGATACCGGTTTCTTTAACAAGTCTGAATAGCTGTCTACTGTTACCTATTGCCGCTGCCTTTTCCATCTCTCTTGCTTTCGCTACCCACCACTGTTCACGGTCATTTCATAGGCTTCTTAATAGCTTTCGCTTAAGCTGACTCCGCTCTTCGTTATGTTCAGAGCCAGGTGGGATGAGTTTTCGAGCATCTATCAGTGCGGTAGATGCTGCCGAGATCCATTGTTTCTCCCTAACCTTATGGTTTACCTTACTAGCGGATATCACTGCTGTTTCCACAGCTTTTCGGATGTCATTCCACGCTGCCTCAGGGTGGGCACGACTTACATGGCTGCCTAATTGTTTTTCCAGTTGTTCCTGAAATATATTTTTAGCTTGCCTATCATTAAGTATAACCCTTAGAGGCTTCCCTGCCGTGTGTTTCCTACGTCCAGTAAGACGCAGACAGATACGAGCTCGCACTAGAGCATGATCTGAGTCTAAACATGTGCTCCAGAATGAGCGACAGTCTTCTATCGAGCCCCTCCATCGGTGGTTGATAGCGATGTGATCTAATTGAGTCCAACGTTGGGACGAATTCGGGGGTCGCCATGTCAAAAGATGTTTTTCCTTATGCTTAAAATTAGTATTTGCAAGAAATAGGCGGTTATCTGAGCATAGCTGCAACAGACGGTCGCCATTATTTGTTCTTTTCGCCGTGATACCATAAGATCCACCCAGGTGTCTTTACCTTTCACTTAGTTTACCTACTTGAGCATTAAAGTCACCATCCACTATTACTACATCAGAACGCCTAGCTTTTCGGAGGTCAGAAAGTTTCCTGTAAAACTCATCTTTTATATCGTCTGAGCTGCAGTCAGTGGGAGAGTAGGCAGAAACGACGAAGTTTCCCTATTTTTCCGAGTCCTTACTGATCCGTTTAGTCGGATAGCGCATAGACGACTGTCTACTGGGATCCAGTCTAAAAGAGCTAGTTCTACCCCAGGACTTTATGCTATACCTACTCCAGCGAGGCCACGGGAAGCAGCATCAGGGTTTCCAGATACACGAAGCGTGTATCGAGATGATTTTTTATTATAACATAGTGAGGTCAAATCAATGACGCTACTCGCATCTTGTATGCGCGTTTCGGAGACGCAGCACACATCGATGGTGTAAGATTTTAAAGTCCTAGCTAAGGAAGCCTGTTGTCCTATTTGGCACAATGTACGGACATTAAAAGTTCCTACATGTAGTTTAGAGCGTGGTTTCAGGAGACCAGGAATAACGTTCCGTGTACTCGAATCGTTTGCCCTAGCGGTGCGAGGTGATAAAAGGACGTGGGAAGGGTTAGTCGTGGAGATAACAGAGTTATTAGGTGTAGGAAGGATTTGAAAGTGACCAACTTGGTCTCGTGTTCTGTTACGGGTATGAGGGCTAATATCACTTCCCGACTGCCCACATCGTGGAAGTGTATTTCTTGAGGGACCTGAAAAGGAAGTTAGATTAGTGTTGGTCTCAACGACCTGGGAGCGTGACCGCAGTGCCCAAGGGACAACTGCTTGAGGCCGGTCACGCACGGCCTATTTGTGGGGGATTTTTGACATGTTAGCTCCGTTCTTCAGAGGACCTTTCCACCGGAGACGGAAATCCGTGGGATAAGGCGAGGTGTGCATTATTAGGTTCGACCTTTTCTAACCCCACCCCTCCTTGTGGGAAGGCAGCATCGCTGTCATGCTGGTTGTCAGCAGTACGACATCGCCTTAGGACCTTGGGATTGCTGCTTTTAGTCTTACCGCTCTTCAACTGACCTGTCTGGCATGGTAGGACCTTGAGGAACGATTATTCGAGCCAGTATAGCTCGATTGGTTCATCACGATAGGCAAGCCCGACCACCACGTCAAGGTAGCAGCAACGGTCGGGATGAGAGAAGTTCACGTTCAATTCACAGTGACCCTTCTGAACGGGAACGCTTTACGGTACACACTCTAGTTTTGGCAGTATCTTTTTTAGTAAGAGTTCATTACCCTCAAGGTTCACCTTTTTTTATCTATTACAGATAGTTCAAGATTGCAGTATAAACTTTATATGTATGTATGCTTATCGAATAAATGAAAATCAAACCCACCTAATATTTCACACAGAGATGCTCAAGAAAGTCATGTAAAACACCAATAGTCATTTGTATTCAGTAACTTATTATTATTAAATACAATAAATTTTATCACTATAGGGTTGTGGATATTGTTGAGTTTTTGATTGAGATCATGAATCGACCAATGTTATACCACCACTGAAAACCTAGAAGCACTGAACGGCCGTTTCGTCCCAGTATCCTACTCCTGAAAAGTGCGCATCCATGATCCTGCACGCAGGACTCGAACCCAGCACCTTCGGTTCCACGCATGTACGCTTAACCTTTAGATTATTCAGCCGGCATCCAATTGTGTTAATGTCGTGGATGCTCAGTGCTGCGGAGTCCCATACTACGACGAAAAGGCCTTTCAATGCTTCCAGGTTTTGAAGGGTTGTATTTATTATTTTATTTAAATACATACATATTAGTACAGAAGGGCACCAGATATATATGCGCCACACAAAATAATGAGAATGGGAAGAGAAGGGGGGAAGGTGTGTATATATAAAAGAAGAAAAAAAGGAGAAGAGTAATGATGGGGGGAACTGAAATGTACAACCAGAAGAACTCTTTCAGTTAAGAAAGTTATAACCACTCTTTACGAAGAAAGTTATAGCAGGCTCGCTATTGGCTGCTATTCTGAGCCATACCTGATAACGTCTCTAGCTACTGTGTTGCACCATCTCTCGGACCCCAGCCAGGGATTCGTGAAGGACCAACAGAAGCCAGCCCTTTGCAGTTTTCTTTCATGTCACGACACCATGTCATACACTGACCACCTCTCCGCTTTTTCCAACCAGTCCCAGAGTCGGCCATGTTTTGGTTTGGCCACCCATAACCCTCTTCCAACCATCCCCAATACTAATCAGTATTATGCGTCGTGGTAATCGGTGTTCAGGCATACGTGACACGTGGCCCAACCATCTCAGTCGATGAAGATTCACAACCTCATCAACTGATTTACCATCATTCCTTAATACCCTGTGTCTAACCTCACTATTACTTACCCGGTGATCCCAACAGATGCGAGCGATATTTCTAAGACATCTGTGGTCAAATGCTAGTAACTTACGAGTATCTTCTACCCTTCATGGCAACGTTTCACAGCCGTAAAGTAAAACAGAGCGAACTGCTGTGCAGTATACTCGTCCCTTAATTGATAGACGGATATTTCGTCTTCACCGTAGGTTACGTAAGTTGACAAAAGCCAAACGCGCTTTTTGAATCTGTGCTGAGATTTCGTCAGACACCAACCCATTAGGGCTGATCAGACTTCTAAGATAAGTGCAAATTGCCACATCTCATTAGCACAATATTAACACCAAATTCATAGTAGTTACTTCAATGGTAGTAATATTGTGTACAAGGATATAGTACAGGAAAAAGGAGCTAGTTGATAAAAAGATCTAAAGCAATTTTAATCTCACGGTTTAAAGAAGACAAAGATTGTATACACTTTTATTAATTTAATATTTAAAAAGTACACACATTGTTTAGTTAAATTTTTTTTTTTAAAAAAAGAGGATAAGTGGACTTCCTTGTGGTTGTTCTATTTAATATTCTAAAAAAATATTATTTTATCTCATCATGGAAAAAGAAATCTCTCTTTTCTTTTTGTGAAATAAAAACAAATAAATAAGTCCATTTTTTGTTCTCTCATGTTTACCAATATACAAAATGAAGATTATTCACTAGTTTATTTACTTTTTTACATTTATTCTTAGGTAATATTTATATATAAAATGTGAACAAATAATATATCAACTGTTAATCTCTCTTATTTTTTGGCATTTACGATAGTCAGAAGAGGTTTTGTGGAGATTTAGTATTTTCATAGTTGAAAGCGTGAGTCATTTGAAGCTAGACCACCAAGGAAAACCTGGAAGCACTGAACAGCCGTTTCGTCTTATTGTGGGACTCCTCAACAGTGCGCATCCACGACCTCGCCTCGCGAGATTCGAACTCAGTGAGTTCAAACCACGTCTGTTGTGAGATAGGAACTCACTGAAGATAATTGGTGAACGGTTGCTCAACTTCGTGGATTGGTCGGAGTTAGACATAAACACCATCGGATGCCGGCTCAACGGTCTCTCGGTTAAGTGCTCTGGCGCGAGACTGGTAGATCCTGGGCTCGAATCTCTCTAGGCGAGGTCGTGGATGCGCACTGCTGAAGAGTCGCGCAATAGGACGAAACGGCCGTCCAGTGCTTCCAGATTTTCCTTGGTGGTCTAGCTTCAATTGACTCACGCTTTGAACTATAAATTTACGATAGTATTATTTCTGACATAACCCCAATTCAACACAGTTTCAATTTATAATAACTTTTTAAAATTTAAAGACTGAAATTATTTAATATTTATTACAAAAGACGGTGTATGGTGATTCATGAATTTTCATTTTACATCGCTGATCGATTCTAGATAGACAGTTGTTAAATTCCAAGAAAAACTGCCAGCTGCCCTATCCTAGTGTGAAACTCTTCAATTTTCTGGATTAGTAACTCCACCAGTATTGGAAGCCAGAACCTTTAGGCCTCACAGTGAGGGGGTCACTTTCATGCCATTGAGTTGTCATTTACTGATTCAAATTTACCACTTGTGTTATTGCACGATTATTAACATTACCATTGATTATATATATCTCACGCCCGAAATTGCCGAATTCTACTAGTTACAGATTTTTATTATAATTTCTTAGCTGTTCCCTACTTCTGTACACACAAATTCTATTATTTAATTTTTTCATGTTTTTTACATAGGGAAAAAATTGCTCTTCTTCGAGATATAGGACATGTTCCAATTATACTTGTTGGGAATAAAGTAGATTTAGCGAATCAAAGAAATGTGTCACAGAGAGAAGCTTTCGATTATGCTGCAAGAAAGAATATAGAATACATTGAAACTTCAGCTAAAACAAATCACAATGTTCAACAGGGAATTACTTTTTTTATAAGAAATTCATATTTTTTTAAAAACATGTATTTATTACATGTCTAAAATACCATATATTCTGGGTGGTTGAGTTTTTTTTCATGAGAATAGGAATTTTATTGACTTTATCTTTAAGAGGTTGCATTTCCTCGTTGTTAATCCTAAGTAGGTGCATTTGATCAATCTCTGGTGGTCTATATGTGCATCCTGAGTGTATCATTATTTAGTGATAAGTTTTCAGTAAATTTCGATAAGCGCCTAATGGTTTATCTATTACAGCCCTTAACGCCAACAACATGAAAAATACAAACCCTAATAAATATAATTTATACTCGTTGCATAGGCTAGTGAATATTTGAACTCGTTATATCCCAGTAGATAACGTGTTGAGGTTTGAAAATTATGGCAGGGAGTTCGAATCTCAGTGTGAACAATAACAATGCTATATAATTACTCTCTGCTAACGGGTTTTGAATAGGACAAAGTGCCCATCACTATTCAACTTGCATATAAAAATTACTGTTATGTCTTATTTGTTTAAACTGATATGATTCTATAAGTTTCATGTAATTAGTGAAGTTGACTAAATGATTATGACAATCTAAAATCGATGACATTTTATCTTGTTTACATATGTACAGTGGGATAATGAATATTGCTACGTAGAATGCTTGAATTGGAATAAATATTCAGGTACTTCAGACTTATTACAAATAATTTGGATTCATAAAAACTGATCAGTCTTCCCGTTATGACGAGTTTCGTCAATCAGTAACCAGCTCATCAAAGTTGATGTGACACAGCAGTACTGACTTATTGTGGGCGAAACATACATCGAATAGACAATTTCTTTCAGTATGTCTACCATTATTAGGTGAAATTATTATGTAACTGAAGTAACACTCGACTTCTCTCGTATACTGAAAGAGTGCTAGTTTGCTTAGGACTAATTATGAACGGCTTTACGGAGTATAGTATTTATCGCTCTGTACTATATACCAAGTCACCAACTACTCTCCCACGCTTTCACACAACTCGAATCAAGAACATGTAATTCGTCTGGCCAGTACTAATCAATAATTACTTAAGTACATAGGGTAGGGTAACACATGACAAATCAGATACGCGTCTAAATATCTACCAGTCTATCTGAAACAATAGTCACTACCATCTTTTACCTACTCAAAAAGAACCACTTAACTAACACAAAAAATTACGATTCTCTTCATTACGTAATGACGCTACTTATAAATATTCATGATTATTCTATTTTAATTAAATATAGGTATTTTATAAGATGGCCAAAGCGGTAGTTGATATGAAACATGCAAATACTCAACCTCAAATACAACAGAATAAATCACGTGATGACGGTTGTTGCTGCGTTTTATAAATCCTGAAAACAAAACAAATTTCAAAAATCTGAAGAAAATATCTATGTAATTCAATAAACAAATAAAAAAAATGAGTTGAGAATGTACACCTGAAAATATTGTTTATTAATGTTTACAAAACTAGAAAGTCTCTTTTCTATCATGCACTATAATACCATCCCCCCCGCTTGTTTTTGTTTAGCCCATCTCTTTTTATACACTTCAAAAAAATATGAATTCATTCTGATGATGAATCTGTTTCACATTTTTAAATTGATCTTTTTTTCCTGGTGTTTTTGTTAAGAATTTGTCTATCGTTTGTACCATCTCGTTACATCAGTTGTCTTCGAAAAAAAGCAAACAAACATTACTGTTGTAATACCCTATCATATAAAATAATTGAATTGTTTTTATTTATAATTAAATAGACATTTTTTTTGGGGTGTCTCACTTAAGCTTACTTTACATCTATTAAAATCCATGTATATTTGAATTGAAAATGTACTACTAATTATTTGAAGTAGTACATACAAGACATTATGTATTATTATTATCTATTCATGTGTGTAATATTAAGGGTTTATTGTTTCTTCTCTTGTGTTCTGTTTTTATTTATTTATTCTTTTTTTTTATATTAAAAAAAACTAAATAAAAATCAATACATTTTGTTGTTTTATTAAAACAAGAACAAACATTTTTCTTTCAGTTCAACTTTTAAAAATGAAGGTTGTTTTTGTTTGTTTGAATTCGAACTAACTGATTAATAATAATGATAGATCATTCTCATGTGTAATACACATACAACCCAACCGTATTGTTAATAATGCCTGTTTGTTTTTGTGAAGGTGCTTTCGCTTTTTTTTTAATAATTTAATATTTACCTTGTTTCATATTCTATGAAGCTAGTTAACTAATTACACTTTTAAATTTAACTGCATTTTCATTCATTATCAGTATGTATTTTGTACGTGTTTATTTTATTTTTTTTGGGATGAAATTTATTTGTTTCTATAAAAAAATTAATGATATTGCATAATAATAATAATTACTGAACTGATTATGGTTTGAGCATATTTTTTAATTCATAATAGACTAACTCATGCTAACCAAACAACTATTATTAACATATTGAAACTTATAAAACCTATTTTGTTCAGCTTTAGAATAATCCAAATTCTACTCATGGGTTGCCAGATGGGATCAAGCATGAAAATTTTATTTATTTAAACATATGAATATTGGTACAAGGAAGCACCAGATGTATATGCGCTGCACAAATCTCATTTGATTTATGTGTGATGGCTGTGATACTGCCCAGGTGCCCAAACTGAAACAGGTAGTTGTCTTAGGGGGCTACACCCGGAGCCTTCAACCGAAAGGTCTGATCCACAAGGCAGTGGAGCAACGTTAGGAGATGCAGTCCCATGGTAGCAGGTGATCAACAATTGGTTCATACGCCATTCGTTCCATCAGGATCCTGTAGCCCATATGCACCATCGGTTTGGAATTAGGGTTTTCCAACTCCCCTCGGCGTCCACCAACCCGGTTAAGTCGCCACACTCTTTTTTCATCCTCTCAATTTCGTAAACAACACCCCTACCGCGAGAAAGTCGTGAGTACGACTTCCGTGGGAGTGGCTGTATACGTGTGGCCATGTGAGAGCGTTTCGAGAGGGAAAGCGGACTCTCGGCCGTATAGAGCATTTGGGGGCTGCATGGAAATGTAAATCACTCGATAAATATTTCATCATCTAATAATCCTAATTCATGATGAAAACTTTCTTAACACATTCCTTAATCATTGTAATGATATATAAGTCAACTTACGTTTCAACCTATCATTCATAGGTACCCAGGTAATGAGAACTGCTTATCGTTAGTAAATGGTTAAAAATGTTAGAGAACCTTTAAAAATAATAAAATCCCGTTCTGTATGCATTTAAAATAAGATGAATTTCACATCCAATATTGTTTAAAGTAAACATAGCCTTAGTTACACTAAGATTCTAACAAAAATAAAAACATTCTAAGTTAACTTAGTTTGTGCGGTGTTTTTGTAATAACTGATAAATACTTCGTACAAATTTACCTGAATTGTTATAATCTGATATGTATATTAACAATTGTTTCCTGTTTCAAGGATTGAACAATTCGTGTCTAGTAGAATGCGTTCTGAAAAAAATCTGAGGTTTTATATTTTACCAAATGCAAGCATACTATCGTGTGGTTCGATTTATTATCTCTTTAATGAACATATTTTGCATTGACCTAATGATTGTTTTCTTCTGAAAGGCTTTTCTTACTTGAAGCCTCATGGTGCTCATATTTTTTGTATTGAAATTCGAATCTACTTGTATTTAGGCGACACAATCAAGCTTTATTCTGTTACTACTTTTTATGCAGATTCATAATAGCCTTCTCAGTTAACATTCGTAAGTGTTGTATTTTTAATAGATTCCAATCTATCTTTAATGTTATCATTATTGGTGATGTGAAATGGAATTCTAAGAAATACTAATTGGTTCGAACATGCTAAGTTCATCATCAGTTTACTGATTTACTCCTCATCAAAATTCTCATTATTGTATTATGAAGCCCACCTCAAAGAATATTTGATTGTCAACTATTCATTTTTTGACAAAGGATGTAAGCAAGGACGTTGTGTCAAGTCATAAGGTTGATTAGATCAGAAAGTTATTAAAATTACGCAATCGGGATCTACATTCTATTCGCAGCCATATCCTGATTCCAATTATGACTTTATTAATTATGTATTAAATTATTCGTCCTGGATAGTCGCTCATGAAAATCATCTTGACCTCTTTAATATTTATTCACCGATACGTCTTATTTTAAACATTTTGCTCTAAAAATAAAAACAACATGACTATATTAGGTGTCACTAAACAAATACAATTTTACGGTAGTAAATATGACTACAAAAACAATGATATGCGAATTTAATTTATAATGATTGACCTTATCTTTACAGTTGTTAAACATACATGTTGCCACCTAGTCTTCATAGCACACTGACTATGGTCTTGGCAGAAATTATGGCATGAATAATCCAGGGACAGTTCAAAGTAGCTGGAACATGATACGAAGCTGAACAATAAGTAGCTTACTACCTTATGGAAATGTAGAATACTGATGCCAGAATGTAGTTTGTATCACCGAACAAATCCCTAAAATAAACAGCTTTGTAAGTCTTCAACATTGACGTACATTTTAGTCGAACTGAAAACACTACTAACTTGGGGCGTTCAGTCATGCATCAACATCAGTTCATTTTTCAGTACATCGGTGAACTCATCTCCTCCGATAACTATCCAGCTGTACCTGATACACCATTATGCCTCAGCCTACAACTTGAATATATCTCCCACCAATTACCATTGACTTCCTTAATTACCTTGGTGACATTATTATGGGAAAGAGTCAAACACCAATACTGTAAAATTCTGCCGATGGTGAGTCGCTGAGTTATAGAATTACAATTCCTCAGTCAGACGCAAATGGACTTGATAAGAAGGACATACAACGAGAGCCAAGATGCATTTATTTTTTAAGATGACTGTGATTAATACAATGACATAAAATCGTTGTAACGGACAATATCAAGTGATTGAAGCCTATAAATAATATATTTACATTCTAGAACATAATCCACATCAACCCTTTAGAACAGGTAGATCCCTTGCACATGAACAATCTCTGTCGTATGAACGAAGTTAAATGTAACCGAAGTGCCCAAGGTCTTCATTTGTATCAGTGAAGTGACGAACCTTGACACACCGCATTAAAAAAATTGCAAACAGCGAATACTTTCTTCCTTGGTATGCATAAATGTTTCGAGCTGCTATCCCCTGCACTACAACGCGTACTGAATTAAAGACAGCACTGGAGCAAACATATTGCAGATACAAACCTACATACCTATCTAAGAGATAGGAGTAACCTATATAAATGCCTCCACCTACCCACACACCTCGTCGAAACTATAAGGTACGCCCCCTCAGTCTGGCTACTTCTTGTAACTTCTCACCACAAACAGTTTCTCATACCGTCTCACAGCTGACCGAAGTAAGGGAATTTCCGGCCCTCACAGTATACTAAGACAACAGAGTTGTGGATTAACATTGTAGCTGTAAATAATTCCCCAAAATCAATAGCTCATTAAGTGTTCGACATTGGATGCTGACCACGTTGTTTAAGTGGACTTGTTTAGCTGAAGGCTTTCGGTCATGCATCCGCACCAGATCACGTTTCAATACTGCGTGGGACACAGCTCCTACGTTTCATTAGCCAGCTCATAGAAAAGGTCCTCGATATATTGGTAACGAATCAAATATATCTTTCCTGCCTCTTCTCGTTTGACTTCTGATTTTCTATCTGACTGGTAACAACCGAATTTAGAAGGTGCTACTGGTATCTAGTTGTAAAACTAGAATATCCGTTGCATCATCATTGGTGAACCCGACGTGATCTGGTACACCAAGTCAATATACTGTGAGTCTGTTCCATTTTGGAATATTATTATTCATTGTTATTCTTTATTTGAATTTTATATATTGTGATATACTTTTTTCGCGAATTTTTTTTTTTCCGGATATATTTTAATTAGACATTTTCGTTAGCTATATTACTATGACGGAACACTCACCCAAGGTTTTTAAGTTAAAGTCTATTCCCCCTATTTCGATTCAGTTAACGCCATTTTGGCCCGACAATATTGAGTCCTGGTTCTGCTATGCAGAAGCCGATTTTTGCATGCACGGAATCACGGACTCGCGCACACGTTTCCTCGCGGTAGTTAAGGCGTTACCGCGCGAGTTTAACAGGTACGTAACACCTAGTATGTTTACTAGTGATGTTTCCGAACCTTACGAATCGCTTAAGCTATCGATTTTAAAACGAGGAGACCTAACTGA